GACAGAAAGAAGAAGGTGGAGGAGGAGGAGGAGGAGAATGATGACAGGAAGAAGGAGTGGGAGGAGAAAGAGAGGAAGAAGAAGGTGGAGGAGGAGAATGATAGGAAGAAGGCGTGGGAGGAGAAAGAGAGGAAGAAGAAGGTGGACTAGTGGTGGTGATGGAGGAAGAGGAGGAGGAGGTTGGCTGTGTTAATTAGTTGTATGGAGACTTAGGTAGCCACTAACACCGCCCCCCTGTGTCGTTCCGTCTGGTTTGGTTCTCCTCCTGTCACACACACACACACACACACACACACACACACACACACGGAGATCAGTGGCCTTTGTGTTGATTGTCTTTTATAGTCGGGTTCCAGAGGATATTTTTAGCTGTCGTAAAGTCTCTGTGCAGGTACGCCGCCATGTTGCCTCTCACCTGTGTCTTATTGTAGGTATTTGGATACATTGTTCATATCACTGGTTCATATATTACCTGCTGGAGGCTGAGAGAGTTTGGGTCCGTCTTTACAAAATATATCCCCACAGTAATGCCAAAAGGAACGGGTCTTGTTAATGTAGAGTCTCGGTGTAATTTGTCGCCATCTTGGGACGTTATTTTTTACGATATAGTGTAATTTAGTCACTTACTTAGGTTCTTAAGTCTCCGGTTACGAGCACAGTTTAACTTGGGAATCTTTAGGAATCTCGTACCCGCGTCGTGGTCTACAAATTCACTATGATCTTCTGAGATTGGGCAACAATTTTGTGTCCGGGAAGGTCAAAGGTCATTATGTAATTAGCTTAATTGTGCCTTATGTGGCTGGTCTGGCGCCATTTGGCATAATCCCACGCGTATGTGGGCAGGACGCCTGGTGATTGGTCCCCGAGCGAGCCTCCATGACGTCAGCTCCCGGCCCTCCCACACTTCCCTCTCTACAAAGTCAGTCTAAACCTGCTTTGAACCTTAACTTATCCTATCCAACCTAACCTAACCAAACTGATCTAACCTCCCACAACACCTGTCAACATAAAGGTAGCTGTACTTGGGTGGCACGGAATCATGACAGTGGGAGGAACACACACACACACACACACACACACACACACACACACACACAGGCAGGACTGTTTTTTCCTACGCGCTTTCGTTGCCTGATCACCCTGGTGACCAGAGGTGGCGCCTGGTGGTTACTACTGCCGGTGCGCGCTGCCATCTCCTCGCACAGCACAGTATATATATATAAATAATAGCTGGAAATGTTATATTATGGATAAAAGATAAGGTTTAAGGGCACATATATAATAAAATTAGGTCACACCCATTACGCAAATTGTCGAGCTCGACATTACATGTAATGTCTCGTTACGTGGGTTTACTGTGGCAAACACACTTGTGTGTGTATATATATATATATATATATATATATATATATATATATATATATATATATATATATATATATATATATATATATATATATATATATATATATATATATATATAAACATCGTAATCTGACCTTCACTAATATAAACCTTTTTTAATCAGAATTTGTCTTGTTCCATAATTTCGTCTTAAGAATAGTCATTAAAAAGGTAAAGTCCCTTATTAATTATCGTGATAATTTACATTTAACATCAATGGTAACAGTGTATGGCCAAACTCTCACTAATACCAACTGTTATATTGTTCATGTATATTTATCGTGTATGTTATCATCATCCTCGGTCTGAAATTAATTGTGTCGTGTTTTTGTCATTTCCATCATCTTTTCCGCCATTGTAATTAACTTTTCGTTTATTTTTGTGTCATTTTTTCTTCGGTCTTTTCCCCAACCTTTAAAGGGTTCCAAAGTACCTTTACTCACTCGACTCCTTTATTCGTTTATTTTTTTTTTTTACTTTTTTCTGTCTCGTCTATAATTTCCTTTTCATTTTCCTTCTATTTCCTTTTTCATTTTCTCGCCATTTCCTCTCCAGTACTTTTTTTTCTGTCTGTTTACGAGGGAATATAATTATCCCCCATTTAGTTTTTATTGCTTGGGGGGGGTGTTGTTTGTTTGTGTGTTTGTTTGTCTTGTTTTTATGCTCCTTTCTTTGATAAGTTTGGTCTCTCTACCTCTCTCTCTCTCTCTCTCTCCTCGTTTATCTCGTTCTGTTCCCTCCTTTGGTTAGTTGGGTCTCTCCCTCCCTCCCTCCCCTCTCTTTCTCTTATCTCCCTCCCTCCTCCCGTCATTCTCTCTCTCCCTTCACTTCTTATTTATCCCGTTGCTTCCTTAGGTTAGCTCCCTCCCTCCCTCCACTTCTCTCTCTCTTATCTCTCTCTCTCTCTCTCCTTCCTCTCCCTGTTCATCACGTTCCCTCCTTTGGTGTGTCGGTTCTTTATTGTTCTCCTCCATCTTGGTGTAAATTGTTTCCACTCGTAGTTATTCTTCTGTGTAAGTTAGCGGCGCTGTGCTGGTTATGGTAGTTGGTCAGGAGATCTTTTACACAGAGAGAGAGAGAGAGAGAGAGAGAGAGTGAGTATAATGACGGAGGCGTTGTGTAGTGAGTTAGTTATTCTCACCATAATAAGACTTAAGATGGTGATGGTGGTGGTGACGGTGATGGTGATAGTTGTGGTGACAGTGGTGGTGGTGGTGGTGGTGGAGCCGAGGTTATGTTAATGCCGTGTTGCGTTATGTTAATGCCGTGTTGTGTTATGTTAATGCCATGTTAAGAAGGACCCCACTGTTCACCTCTTGTTACCTCGGGTCCTGCCTGGTAACGTGTGGTGGCTCCAGGGGGATGGACAAAATGAGGCTCTGAGGGTTTGTTATTGTTGGTGGTTGACGCTGGTGTATGGGGAGATTAATGGTGGTTGATGCTTGTGTAGAGGTGTTGTGAATGGTGGTGGTTGACGCTGGTGTATGGGGGGGGAGATTAATGGTGGTTGATGCTTGTGTAGAGGTGTTGTGAATGGTGGTGGTTGACGCTGGTGGAGTAATGATTGAAACTCATAGAGGGTGAAGGATACTCTTGTGGGGGTGATTGACAGTGATTTTTGGTTACATAATGGTACAGTGAGTTAAAGAAATAGGTTGTATAAGAAGGTTTTATGATGCAGAAAGCCTGTAAGAAAACTAATTCACTTCCAACTTGTGTTGTGAATCATAGTGGCGCAGAAAGCTGAATACATAGGTTGTATTAAAGAGTTTTGTGACTTTTAATGGCACAGAAAGGCAATAAGAAAAAAACACATCAATCCTAGTATGTGACGTGGATCATAAAGGCGCAAGCAAGAGGATTAAAAACCCTTTCGGGATACTTGACCTCACAATGGTGCCTTGGCGCCAACGGTTATGGCTTCTAATGGCGGGGAAAAAAAACCCAGAGAGATATTTTCCACACTGGTGCAGGATACCCGAGGGATCAGCCAATTTCAAATCACTTTATTTTTTTTTGGGGTGGAAGCCTTTATTGGCGCTGGAAGCCGACGGATTAGCTGGTTAACTGTCACTGGCGGGTTTTTCAGAGCTGGTCGGTGCAGAGGGACGTGTTGTGAAGTAATGTTGACACAGTTTTGGGGGAGGAATGTTATGTGTGTGTGTGGTCTCATCGGGAGTGTTGTGACTTGAAGCTTGGTGTAGAGTCTGCTGGTTTAGTGAGGTGTTGGTGTAGTGTTAATGTTAGTTTTATTATGGTTTAGGTGTAGTGAAATTATTGGTTTATTGAGGTTTAGGTGTAGTGATAAGTGTTGGTTTAATGATTATTCGTGTTGTGATAATTAAGGTGTGGCAAGGTGAAGTAAGACTTAGGTGTAGTGAGATGAAACTAGGTGTACAAATGTGTAGTTAACGAGATGTGAGTGTAGTGGGGTGTAGGGTGATACCAACAGAACGGGTCTTAAGAGTCTAGGTATAAGATCTCTTCAGACAAGCTTAACGGTGACTCATGTCCGCTTGGTGTTCCCTATGGTCAGCTAAGGGACCACCAGCCCACCTTTACTGCCAACCTTCTTTATTAATGTCAGCTACGTTAATGGTTATGAGAGAGAGAGAGAGAGAGAGAGAGAGACTGACTAGTGCCTTGGGGTCCTCTTGTGGGGAAGGGGCTTAGGAGCAGGTTAGTGATTATTTAACTGGTATAGAGAAGGATCCCCTGTAATTAACTCTAGGTGATGTACTGGGTTTAATAGGTGTGTGTGTGTGTGTGTGTTGTATGGTTGTTGACGGCCTTGGTTTAATGGAACTTTTTTAGTGTTATAAAAAGTGGTTCTGGATCCTTTCAGTATTGGAACTTTGGCCTTCAGTGTGTTGTAGTAGAACAGGTAACTTAATGCCTGGTAAAATAAGGACTTGTGGTTCTCGATGAAGAGGAAATGTATTTTTATAGTTTATTAAGATTGAAGTTATAGAGAGGAGCTGTGGTGTTTGTCTTAATTAAAATCAGGTGAGCTTGTGACTGAGTGAGCGTTGGGTGAAGAGAAGAGAGCCAGGTAAACTGCGTGGGTTGCTGTGGCTGATTGACCTTGAAAGTAACGGAGCTTATTGGCTTAGTGGATCGTAGGCGTTACTAAGAGGCGGACTTGTATATTGACTCCAGGTAAGTTCAAGGTTTGTGTGTGTTCGCTCGTTCTTCTTTCGTTCGCTCGTTCATGTGAAAGTTCAAGGCTAGGATGTGCGTGTGTGTTGCTAGAGGTGCGCAGGCCTTTAGTTATGAAGGTAATATAGCTTGATGCTTCAGTGAACTGAGAGGGAGCCTCCGCCTTATTACTAACGCTCGGTAATCGATCCTGGCTGTGCGTGTGTGGCGGGGTGGGGGTGAGTGGGGGAAGTGTGTATTTTTAAGACTTGTGCATTTTGGCATTAAATGTAATGAAATTTTGAGCGTAAGTGGTGTGTGTGAGCGTGTTGATGGCGCTAACCGGTCAATCCATGGTGGATATGGGGCCGTGGATAGTAAAGGTTCAGTGGTTTCAGATCTTGGCAGTAGTAGAGCCTTCAGAGAATCGGTGACCTAAGCTAACCCGTGCTGATATAATGGCTTGGGTACGTTTATAATTAGATCTTGTGGCTTTGTGTTGTAATAAAAAGTAGGAAAACATATGGTTTTTACGTGGCTGTGAGTGTTCCCCCGCCCCCATGTCACTGAATTAGGTGTGTTACTGGGGTCTGGGGTAAGCAGTGTGGTGTCCGTGAAGGCAGGAGCCACCTTAACTACTACCCACTATACTGATCTACCACTGGGGTGCCTAAGGTTTGAATGCTGGGCCCCATTCCATTCCCTCAGCTCGATCTGTAGTCAAGGAGTTGAGTTTGGAGACTTAGTGAGGTGTAGATGAAGATAGAAGCCTCCGTACCTAACGCCAGGTGAGTTCGAGCCAGAGTAATTAAAGCCAGGTATGGTAGAGGCCCAAGGGGGTGTGTGTTGGCGTAGGACCGTAGGTGGTGGATGTGAACCCTGATAAGCGAGAACATGAGAGTGGCTGGAGGAGGTAGAGGTGGTGGGTGGGGCTAGAGGAGAAGGTGGTAGGTGGGGGCTTTAGAAGGAGGAGGAGGATGTGGGTGGGGCTAGAGGAGAAGGTGGTGGGGCTTGAGAGGAGGAAGGGTGGGGACTAGAGGAGGGAGTAAGCCGTGAATGGTTGTTTCTCAGACACACATAACCTCCGAGGTCTCCCCCACCACTGCTTCCTCACCCACCCACCCTGCTCTATTGTTTCTTTCCAACATGTTCATGAGCACTGGGTTAAGATTCGTGAGATTGGGGAAGTGTCTTGGTGTTGGGGTTCACGGGGTCAGGGCGGGAGACGAGGAGAAACCTGATCTGAATGTGGCAAGAAGTTGAGAGGGTGGGAGGCGGGGAGTGGAGAGAAGTGAGTATGTATGTGTGTATCGCCATAGCCAGCCCCCTCCTCTCTCTCTCTCTCTCTCTCCTGTATTCACCCACACTCTCTTTTTCTTATCTCCAACCCACATTCACACCTCTCTCACTTTTTTCCATCTTCCTCCCCCTCTCCGTCTCACACACTAACTACTGTCCTTCTCTTCTCTCCTACACACCCTCATCTCCTCCCTCCCTCCCTCATCTATTCTCCTCTCCCTCATCTACTCTCCCTCCCTCCCTCATCTACTCTTCCCTCCCTCCCCCTCATCTACTCTTCCTCCTCCCTCATCTACTCTCTCCTCCCTCCTCATCTACTCTCCTGTCTCACCTACCCTCACTCTCTCACACACTCCCCTGCCTCGCCTCGCCCTGTGTTGGTGCAGTGGTGAGTGACCACGAGGTGCGTCAGGCTCTTCCCGGTAACTGGGTCACCTTACCTGGTCGCTAATGGCTGCTACTTCACCCCACACTGTAATTACTACCCCTCTCTTTCCTCCTCTTCACCCAACACCACCACCACCACCACATACTACATTCCACTACACTTCACTACCACCACACGCCACTACCACCACCACCACGCTTCATTAACAGCAACACACACCACCACTCACTCCATTGCACTCCACTACCATCACCACTAGTACCGCCACAATGCTTCATTATTACCACTACCACCACTGCACACACTACACACACACACTACCCCTGCACCACTACACTGTCCAGTCCACTATTGCAGACAAGAGTTCATGAGAAGAGGAGGACCCGTTCCTTATGTAAACACCCGGTGAATGCTTGTCCTGACACACTGCCCCCATCACACTGCCCCATCACACCCATACTGTCCCCATCACACTGCCCCTATCACACTGCCCCCATCACACTGCCCCCATCACACTGCCCCTATCACACTGCCCCCATCACACTGCCCCCATCATACTGTCCCCATCCACTGCCCCCATCACACTGCCCCATCACACTGCCCCTACATGCCCCATCACACTGCCCCATCACACGCCCCCATCACACTGCCCCCATCACCTGCCCCATCACACTGCCCCTATCACACTTCCCCCATCACACTCCCCATCACACTGCCCCCTATCACACTGCCCCTATCACACTGCCCCCATCACACTGCCCCTATCACACTGCCCCCATCACACTGCCCTATCACCTTATCACACTTCCTCTATCACACTGCCCTTTATCACACTGCCCTTATCACACTGCCCCCTATCACACTGCCCCCATCACATTGCCCCCTATCACATTGCCTTTATCACACTTCCCATCACACTGCTCCCCATCACACTGCTCCCTATCACACACCCCATCACATGCCCCCATCACACTGCCCCCATCACACACCGCCCCCATCACACTGCCCCCATCACACTGCCCCCATCACACTGCCCCCATCACACTGCCCCCATCACACTGCCCCCATCACATTGCCCCATCACACTTCCCCATCACATTGCCTATCACACCCCCATCAACTCCCCATCACACTTCCATCACACTGCCCCCATCACACTGCCCCATCACACTGCCCCCATCACACCGCCCCCATCACACTGCCCCCATCACACTGCCCCCATCACACCCCCATCACACTGCCCCACACTCCTTATCACACTCCCCTTCACACTTCCCCATCACACTGCCCCCCTATCACACTGCCCCATCACACTACCTCCATCACACTACCCCATCACACTGCCCCCTATCACACTTCCCCCTATCACACTGCCTCAACACACTATCCCTGACCATGTACACCCTAATATGATATCTCCAACACTACTTCCATCACACTGCTTCCAACACTACCTCCAGCACATTATCTCCAACACACTACCTCCAGCACAGTTTCTCCAACACACTACCTCCAACACACTGCCCCTGTGTACACTATCCCTGACCACGTACACTCCAACAGAGATGATGAGAGAGGGATGAAGCAGGAGCTGAACGTAAATATCAACTTAGTGAAGGTCGAGGCTCGTCCCCACTGAGCTAATCTTAGGAAGGGCCAAATTTTCTCTCCCCAGCTCGATTGATTTTCTCACATTTTTATTGGTTCGCTGGGGGTGTGTGGTCACGCTATACTCCCTTGCCCGACACGGCTTGACTACTGCTACTACTACACTATACACAGTACCTTCCTTTCCTTTCCTTTCCTTTCCTTGGAGTTACTGCTGTTTCTGGTATCTTATTCGTCTTTCAGTATAATCAGGAGGGTTTGCTGTAGTCTAGAGCCGAGCTGATCATACTGATGCTTAATATATATATATGTGTGTGTGTGTGTGGGGGGGGGGGAGATGTAGTAGTAAGCAGTTATGGAGAGGCGACAAGATCAGGATGCCTGCCTCAGCGTCTTTCACCACAAAAGATATCAATTGTGTCGGGGAGACCTTTATGGTGCGGTGGTCATTATGTGGCTCTGACCATAGTGGACCCCGGCTATGGCAGTGTGATGGGGGACAACATGCCATCACTGCTGGCTGTTTGCACTACTCTGGGTCTATTACCACGACTTTTGCTGTTATATACGTTTCAGACTGTTGTGTACCACTGGGTGTCTACGACTGTTGATGTCGCTTGAGAATACAACCTGGGTACAGTAAGCTTTTCATCCGTGTCCTCAAAATTTTTCTTACGTGTTGCATTAAAGTTCAGGTTTTGGCACAATGCCCGTTGTTTTACACGACTTACCTTCACCAACCTTTACTGTGAAGCTGCCCTGAGGGACGCACTCAACCTTAATGAGTGTGGGGCCACGAGATCAAAGGTCAGGGTCACTGTGACCTCGTAAACACAAGCGTTATCAGGCTAGGGAATGCCTGAAGCTACACTTGAAAAGAGAGATACCTCTTTTCGAAAACACACACACACACACACACACACACACACACACACACACACACGTATATTAACACAAACGAAAACTAAAACTAATATTCTTTTTAACTTTGTATGTAAAAATTTTTCTCGTTGGTGCTTGAGGTGAAGGAGCAGAACACCTTTACCTGTACATTATAATTATGAGAGTGTGAGACGCCGTGAAACATTACGTCCAGGTGAATGGTTAATTAAAGAAGCTTCACAGTAATAGACATTGTCACATTTAGAGCATCGCATTAATTAAGAAAGCTCTACAGTGTGATATATTAGCGTTTCCGACACCAGGTATATTGCAGCGACATGAATTATGTTTGCACCAGACGCGTTTACGGACGGACGCACACTACAGTATAAGTTCTTATGAGATGTGTGTATTAGTTGTATCCTGTTCATTGTTATTATTACCATTATTATTATCTATTTAACATTCTTGAACCTCTATAATGACTGACTGACTGACTGACTGACTGACTGACTGACTGACTGACTTACTTACTTGAGTATTTTTTCCCACCACACGGTATATGGGGAAGGCGGTGAGAAGGCCACACCTGTAGGAGCTGCAGGTGTGGGGGAGGACTATTAATAGTGAGCCAGACGACAGTAACAGGTGTTTTAAGTGGTCCAACCCCTCTACCCCCTCCCACTACCCTCTTGTCTCACTTACCCCCCTTCCGCCTCTCCCACCCTCTTCCCCCCCTCCCCCCACACACACACCCTTCCTTCACCCACTCACCCCATCCCATCACACACATCCTTCCCTAACACACCCTTCTCTGCCCTTCCCCATAACCATCCACCCCATCCCTCACACCCCCTCCCTAACACACCTCTTCTCACACCCCCTCCCTAACACACCCTCTCCCTCACACCCTCCCACACTCCTCCCCTCTCCCTCACACCCCCTCCCTAACACACCTTTCCCTCACACTCCCTCACCCCTAACACCCTCTTCCCTCACCCTCCTTCCTCTAACACCCTCCGCTCGCCTCCCACCCCCTCCTCCTCTCCCAGCACCTCTCCTCTCCTCCGCCCCTCCCACAAACAAAGACACACATCATAATGACAAATAACATCCTGTACTTGATAACATTTGACGTTTCCGACATACTGTGTGTGTGTGTGAGAACGAAATGGCCTCTCCTGTAAGCAATCCTGCCCTGAGAAGCTATTTTGGGCCGTGACGAGGGTGTGTGTGTGTGTGTGTGTGTGTGTGTGTGTGTGTGTGTGTGTGTGTGTGTGTGTGTGTGTGTGTGTGTGTGTGTGTGTGTGTGTGTGTGTGTGTGTGTGTGTGTGTGTGTGTGTGTGTGGTGTGGGGGGTGTGTGTGTGTGTGTGTGTGTGTGTGTGTGTGTGTGTGTGTGTGGGGGTTTTTTTGGGGGGTGTGAGGGATTGTCTGACGAGGTGGTAGTGGTGGTGACGTGTGGAGATTATTGATTGGTTTAGATCATGAATTCTCTCTCTCTCTCTTTCTCTCTCTCTCTCTCTACCCCTCGTTATATTAAACATCTCCTTTTCACATACCCTTAGCTCACGTTAGGCATCCTCCACTCCTCCACCACCCCCTCTCCACCACCCCCCTTCTACCACCCCCCTGTCCACACCCTCCTCCACCACCCCCCTTCCACCTCCCCCAGCGACAAGTAAATATGTTTCTTGGCCACACAGTTGCTGAGGGGTGACTGCGCCAATGCCACTCAGACCAGAGACTAGTAAGCGTGTTGGACCGTGTTGCTGTACCGAGTCACACTTAAGCTTGATTTACTCTTTATGTTCCTAAAATCTGACTCATTTAAGCTTGATGTAAGGATAAAACCTGACGTACCTAAGCTTGGACGGAAAGGTGACATAAAATGATGTTGAAATTATGTTGACACACTTTCCTAACAACATCAATTGTGTTAAAATTTACCAATGCTGAAAAAAAAAATAAAATTAAGAATATTTAAAAATTCCGGGACTTGTTTTTAACGTGTACGAATTCCGGGGGGTGACATGGTTGAAGTAGTAGTGCGACGCTTTGTTCTGTGCTTGTGTTGTACGAGTTCGATCCGTGATAGGAAAAGTTGACCAGGCTTCCTACACTCTGGTGGTGGTGCAGTTGAGTCACCCAACGTGTTACAGACCCGTATGGTGGCGTGTGTGGTGGGAGGGATGACTAACGTAGACTGAGGCGCAATATTGGTACAGTACTTTAGTTATTGCGTCTTTGTGCTCACGTTACTTCCTTGTTAAACGTATTGGACTCTCTCTCTCTCTCTCTCTCTCTCTCTCTCTCTCTCTCTCTCTCTTCACAATAAAGGGAGTTAGGTACACCCTGTTCAACATCTCCCAGCGGGCGTTGTAACTGAACACACCGAACAGCTGTATAACTCTGCGATACACCTGTGTGCTACTAATCAGCTGTTTACCTGCCTGACTCCACCGCTCGCTGTGTTCAGGTGATGTTTGGTGTTGGCTGCGATGTTGTTGTGTTTAGTGTTTTTCTCGCTACATCTTTACTAAACATTTTTAAACACATGTCTTAAACACCATCTATTATAATTTGTTGAATTTGGTATTTTATTATTATTACTGGTTTGTGTGTGTGTGTGTGTGTGTGTGTGTGTGTGTGTGTGTGTGTGTGTGTGTGTGTGTGTGTGTGTGTGTGTGTGTGTGTGTGTTAATTCGAGGGGCGTTTACCTGGCCGCTCAGGTAGCTTGGTGTTGATTAATATGTGAAGCACTGTACACTTTACCTACTGCTGCTGCCTAACGCTTCTTCCTGCAGTTGTTCCTTCTTGGCCTTCCTCTTCCTCCTCTTCTTTCATCCTTCTTCACTGTTTCCTTTTTGCCCCTCCACTTCTTCATTCTTGCTGCTCCGCCTCACTTCCTCCACCTCCACCTCCATCTCCTCCTCCATCTCCTCCTCCACTCCCTTCTTTATCTCCTCCTCCACTTCCTCCTCCATCTCCTCCCCCTCCACCAGCTCCTCCTTGAGTGAGGTGTAGACGTTGCAGGGGGTCGTGCGAGGGTGTCATTAAGAGAAGGCCGGTACTGGAAGCTGCCAGGTGTGTACAGGTAACTCATAAACACAACACCTTCCTCTACTACACCTTACTACGCCGTCAGGTAACCCGTTAACACCATACCCATTTCTACACACCGAGCTACTGCACTCAAGTAACTTATGTGTGTGTGGAGGGAGGGAGGGAGGTTAAGTGCTAGGCAGGAGAGGGGGAAGGTAGGTGTGAGGGGGGAGGGGGGTTAGGAGCAGGAAGGCAGGGGGGGGGCGGTAGAAGCAGGAAGGGAGTGAGGGATGGGAGGAGGAAGTGAAGAGATTGGAGGTGCGAGAGGAGTTAATGAGGGAGTGAGGGGCGGGTAGTGAAGGTAAGAAGAGGGAGGAGAGGAAAGACGGATGAGAGAGGATGATGAAGGATAGATGGAGAGATAGAGGGTTGGTAGGAAGGAGGAAGAGTAGTGGAGGGTAGGGAGGAGGGGGAGATGGAGAGACAGGTAGAGAGATAATGAGAGAGGAAGGAAGGGTCGACCCGATCTCACGGACACTCGACCATCAGCAATAGTGTCCTCCTTACTCCCGATCCTCCCCTCCTTACCCCCTATCCTCCCCTCCCCCCATCCTACCGCTCTTTCCGTCTTCTCACACTCTGTCGCCCTCTCCCCCTTCTCTCCCCCTTCTCTCCCTTTCCCCCTCCCCTGCTCCTTGTTTCCTTCACTGCTCTCCCTGCCCCTCACTCTATCCTGTTTACCCCCCCTTCCTTTACCTCTCCCCTCTCCTTGTCACATACCTTTGCATCCATCCCTTCTTCCCTTCCTTGCCTCTTTCTCTTGCCCCCCCTTCTTAGCTTTGTCTCCAGCGTACTCCTCTTCCGTTCACCTTCTCAAGTT